AAATAACGTAACTTAAATAAAATGTGTTTTTCAAATCAACAAAATTAAAAGACAAAATAATATAAAATAAGCATAATTAAACTAATAAAATAAATAACTTATACTTTAAACCAATTTAGTTTAATTGAATATAAAACAAACTCTTTTTTGAGACGAATTTTGAATATTCATAAAATATAATAATTATGTACATGATTATGTAAAACACATACATTATCTAAAAATTATAAAATAAGACAGAACTTGCAAACTATATTATTATTATTACTTTTATAAAATTAATTATTTTAAAATCGTTTGAAATTGAAGAAGCTCGATAATTAATATATTGTGGAGGTCCAAAATTGGGTGTCAACAATTGTAACCAATCAGTCCATGAGTTCCAACAAAAAGTTTTATATTTATATTTATAATTTTATATTTTTATCTGGATTAAATTTATAAAAGAAATATTTATTTATTCACTAATAAATTTATAACCGCGCGAAGAGCAGTTATATTCACTAGTTAATAATATAACAGAAAATGTCAAGATTTGTCCGTATACTATTCAAAATTGAATAACGTAACAGAGTTACACAAATCTAGTCATTCTTTCTAGAGTTTTTGGTCAAAAACATCCTTAAACTATACCCTCAACTTAACTACATGCTTAAAAATTATTTTTCTTAACTGAAAACATCCCTCAATTATTTAAAATTTGACAATTTTCATCCTTTTGTTAAAATTTGTCAAAAATTAACAAATTCTTCACAACAACATGTACTGTTCACACTACTCTCAACAAATTAAACTCCTCAAATCACCCCAATAAACTAATTCTGTTCATTCTACATACATTTAAAATAATATTATAATATTTTTTAGTAACAACGTTTTGCATTGCCTTCCTTTTAATTAGCAATTTTATTTTTATTTACTTTTCATTTGATTTGATATCAAAGAATTATCAATGGCAATGTTTTCTCACATTAAATCTGCAAAAAGTGGTGTCGATCAGAGACTTTTGCTTCTAATAATGGAAAATAAAACTTAGTAGAGATCAAAATTAGCTGAATCTTGATCACCTCAATTATCAATTTGCCCCAAAAAATAATTGACCTAACGACATTTGACTTTGCAAGGTGAAGATGGTGTAAAATTAAGCTCAAACTCCATTGGGTAAAAGAGAAGAGCAAATCATGTCTCCTCGTAGACTAACACCGTCCTAACATTGTTTTTTTAACAGCAAACATGAGTCTCAATTTTTATTTTTATTTTTGGTTTTTTTTTCCAATCGGTAATAATATTATAGAATTTTTTTTATGAGAATAGTATGAATTGCATATGCTTTTGTGTGGAATTCGCTAATTTTTTGACAAATTTTAATAGAGGAATGAAAATTGTTAAGTTTTAAATACTTGAAGGATATTTTTAGCCAAAAACTCTTCTTTCTATTTGAAACTGAAACTAATGTAATTTTTCTCTTATCATTAACGAAGTTTCCACGTAAAACATGCAAACTTTATTTATCCAAATTCTTCTTAAAAAAAAGGTGAACATTTGCTATAATTTTTTTTACTATAGTTTAACACTTGAGATTAACTAGTATGGTGACAGTAAAATTACAAATATTATTAATATTTAAATAAAAATAACAAAAAGAGATTTATAAAGTAATTTGGACTCTGAATTAATTGGAGTTCTTAATTGGCTTACCAAAAATAAGATTGATTTCTTTTACCGCGAGTCTTCATCGTCATATTATTTGTCATGCTCGTCTTCAACACCA